ATCGCCTTTCGTCCAGCGAAGTTTATGGTTCTGGTCGAAATGAAACAAATATGTTACGCGAATGACAGCCAATTGAAAGGGATGCAAAGCTACAAGGCTATAGGTACGTAGGTATGCTTTGCCTGAACTACCTACTCAGATTTTTTTTTTGTTACTAGGTATACGAGCTGTGCTGACAAGGGCTGAAGCGTAGTCAGCCTAATAACCTGGGACGGTATAGGTATGACAGCCGTTCCGTCGCCTCAGGTAACACGCCTTAGTGTATCTCTCGCCGGACCTTGGTTTTCTACACATCGTCCCTGCCGAGGGGGAGGGGGGGGTTGGTGCGCCTATATATATACGAGACGCAGCGATTGATATACCTAGGTACTCGATTTTAAAGGGACCCTCCCACCTTAACATTAGATTTGAGTTGAGATAGCCAAAATGGGGTCCCTGGCTCACAATTACCGGTTTCGGCACTCACAACATCGAGAAATGCCTTAAATCGGAAATATTGAATTTCAAAATTGCAGCATTTTGATTCAGAGGGGCTAATGCTTAGGAATACCCCTCTGCATGTGTGACGTCAGCGCAAATAACTAACGATTTTTTAAATGTTTGACTAAAACGTTTTGTAGCACGCGGTGGTATATGCTATTTGCGCGCAACATCTGCCGCAAACGCCGCACTTCTAAAATAAAGTCGCTAGAAACTACGGAGATCCCAAAAAGTAAACAAAAGTAAAAGTCTAATATCTTGAAAACCGGTTAATATTTTTCGGTGAAATTTGGTAGATATTCGTTTTCGCTCTTTCTGAACCGAGCGACATCACTTTCATGCCAATTCATAAACTTTTTTGAAGGTGGGAGGGTCCCTTTAACCCGCGCCCCGCTGGGGGGGGGGGGCAGAATCTGCCCCCTCCCGTTTTTCGCCAATAACTTCTAAACGCGTTACGCCAGCGACGTCAAACTTTCAGTACCTTATCATACATCAATTGGACACGTTCTCTGAAAATTTGAGCGAAATCCGTCGGGAAGTTTTTGAGAAATTGACGTTTTAGTGACGTCATGTTCGCCATTTTCGCCTAAAAAACGGCAAAATTTCAAACGCCGCAAACATCTTCAACATCTTCATTTTTAAAGGAATCAAGACGTAACAAAAAGGTTATACGTGATTCTACTTTGTCTATCAAATGGCTATCTCGGTTTTTTTGAAAATGTTGGATTTTGGCCCAATTTTTTTTCTTCAAAAAACTGACTTTTTTGGGAAAATAATTATAAAATCCAAAATTTTGAGTGTATCGAAAAACCGGAATGTATGTCAGAGAAGTGGTCTATGTGCACCTACATACCAATTTTTAGAAGAATCGGTTAAAAAATGTGGGAGTTATTCAAAATTGTATGACGTCACGACACACAAAAATTTTGAAAAATGATTTTTTGGAAGTTCTAGACCTCGTACGGAAACAAAAATAGCACCATCCAATTCGCCGTGAAAAACTGCATCAGATAGACACCTTTTTAGGCCTTAACAACCAACTTCAAGATTTGACCTCACTTGACCTGACCTTGACCTGACCTCGACCTGAAATTCATCCAGAGGTGGTCCATATCACTTATTGAGTGTGCCGATTGAATTCTATGAGTAAAATGACCCATAAAACATGTGTCGCACATGCCGTTTTCTATATTTTGTTTTTGGTAACCTGACCTGACCTGACCTTACCTTGACCTTGACTTTTGAATGACATTGTATGCAACGAATATTGTCTTGGTAGTCTAAGAACACGTTTTGGGCAATCAGTCTCAGTCCATTCTTCGGCAACTACGGTGTAAGGCCGATACTGTAGAAACTTGCATTTTGTACCCTTGACCTGACCTTGACCTGACCTCTGACCTACTTAAGCAAAAAATTTTGGGCTCTTAAGATCCGCCTTGTTGAGAGCTTTCGATTGCCGTTTTCCCCGTCTTTCTACGACCATCGGTTCGGAAGTTAGCAGGGCGCGTATGGCTGAATAGCCCAGCGGGGCGCGGGTTAAGGTCCCAGGTCCAGGGCTGCGTAGTCGAAGCCGGAGTCGGCCGGAGTCGACAGTGCTGACCGGAGTCGGAGTGTAGGTATGCTAGGTGTATGCTATCCTGATCGTTTGTTGGTCGTCCTGTAGCGATGGCGACGGGGCGTCGTGGTGGCGCGACTCTAAACGCCAATCACTGGTGTCCGTCTTCGCACTCTGATTGTCGTCGGGAGCGCGGCACGCTCGGCGGCGGCTCCACCGGCTGCGGTAGGTCGGGTCGCGCCAGGTAGATCAGAGAGAACTGATCTAATCGGGTAGAGCGCGCCGATTAGATCAGTTCGAAACGAAACGGCATGGTAATTGTGATAAAGCGGTAAGTTAGGGAAAATGTCATAAAGTGGGGTATGTAGGTACTTATTTTATTACGGTGGTGCGAAGTGCCGTCGCTTTGGACACGTCCTTTTCGCTTTTCGTTGTTAACTAGGTTTCCGGTAAGCATAAGGACAGGTTGAGGTCAACATTGAACAAGCTATATATCGCTGGTAAAAGGAAAAACTAACATGCTCGTTTGCGTCATACCTGCCTATTAGTCAGGTAGTCATTCCGTAGTTTTTTTTTCATGAATAGGGCTGTAAATACCAGCTTACCTTGTAGGTATAAAATGCAGGACATAATTCCCGTAGTTTTCATTTCAATCAAATGAGATTGGGCCAGTGTCATTATCCGATCATCAAAGGACAGGTACGACAATAAATGAGCATCCGTGGTCATTTCATACATTCAATTGAACATGCAGACTAAATGGCATTGTTGTTTTAACGTCATTTTTGTTATTGACAGATACGGAGCCTAAACAGGCTTCGTTTCTGCCATCTTTATCAGACCAACTGTATGTACATCTGGACGCCGGGAAGGAGTTCTGCGACATTCGCTGGGTCAAACACGACATATGTAGAAAGCCTTTTTCACGCGCCTCCAGATTTCCGGCATGGCCGAAGGAAGCACACCAAGCTCATCAAAGCCACTCAGTTATCAAACAGGGCAAGTGAACCACTCGCTTCCCGCATCAACCACTGAGCCTGGTCGTGAGGCTACCGCGTCGTGGATAAATGGTCCCGGTCCGCGGATAAATGTTCCCGGTCCGCGGTTAAATGGTATCACAGGGCCGGGGAGAAATGGTACCGAGATGTGGATAAACGGTACCGGATCGTTAGACCGGCTGAAATTGAGCAGTACCGGGCCATGGATAAACGGTACCGGGTCTTCGATAAAAGGTACCGGGCTGGTGATAAACGGTACCGGGTCTTTGATAAACGCTACCGGGTCTTTGATGAACGGTACCGGGTCTTTGATAAATGGTACAAAGCCATGGATAAACGATACCGGGCTTTGGATAAACGATACTGAGCCATCGATAAACAGTACCGGGTTGTTGCTAAACGGTACCAAGCCGTTGATAAACGCTACCGGGCCGTGGAAAATGACGGAAGTGAACGGTACGTGGCCGAAGACGGTGCCACCGGTGCTCGTGGCGCCCGTGCTGCTGCTCGCGCTGGCCACGCTGGTCTCGCTGGTGCCCGTGGCGGCGTTCACGGGGCGGCGGCGGCTGCGCGGCCGGTGCATGTTCCAGCTGCTGGCCAACCTGGCCGTGTGCGAGCACCTGACGCTGGCGCTGACGCTGCCGGTGGTGGCGCTGCGCCACCAGGTGCCGCGGCTGCCGGTGGCCGGCTGCAGCGCGCTGCTGGCCGCCCGCAGCGGCCTCCTGCTGGCAGAGTCCACCGCGCTGCTCTGCATCACCGCCGAACGCCACCTGGCCGTCATCCACGGGCTGCGCTACTTCAGCCTGCTGACGGAACCGCGCCGCCGCCTGCTGCTGGCCGCCCCGTGGCTGGCGGCCGCCGCCGGCGCAGCCGTCTCCGCCGCCGGCACCAGCAGCCACGTGAGCCGGATGGCCAGCCGGCCGGCCTGTCTGTACCTGCGTGCCGTGCCGGCCTGGCTGCGACTCGCCGAGGCGCTCTTCACCATCGCCATCTACCAGGTGATCGTGGCACTGCACGTCATCATCCGGCGCGTGGCCGTGCGGCACTCGCGTCAGATCGCCAGGCAGCGGCTCTCGGTCGGCCTCTCGGCGGAGGGACCCGAGCGGATGACCTCCTACTGGGGCGTCTTCAAGGCGATCGGCCTCAACATCGCCGTCACCGTGCCGCTCTGCGTCCTCTTCACGCTGGAGAGCGTGGGCCTGCACGTGCCGCGCCGCCTGATCGAGACGTTCGGCGGCCTCTCCCTGCTGCGCAGTATGCTGAACGGATGGATATTTGGACTGTGGAATGAGGAGCTGCGCAGAGAATATGGCTGGCACTGCCGCTCAGTCGAGCCCTCCACGGCCGATCAGCGAGACGAGGAGATGGCAGAGCGGGGCAGAGTGGCATGCAAGTCCGCGACCCGTGGTGAGCTCCCTTTGTCTCCATTGTGTGCCCGCTCTCTGGAGCGCCGAAATAAAAGCGCAAGGGCGCAGAGCAGAGCGCCCCATAAAGTGAGAATAAGGTCGATGTCCTTACCAGGAAATCTGACGTGAATGAATTGTTTACTATGTATCGTTGGTGTATGGTAGATACCATATCGATGTCGAATGGAACTGAATTTGAGTGAATACAAAAGACGAACGTGGTGGGAGGTTCTTGGCCCAGCTGAGATGAAAAATGGGCTACTGCCCCGGCGGCTCGTATCTCATTAGAATCCCTCGCTGCTTGACACATTCACACAAACTATTGAACGGAGCGTGCGCAATGTGGTGATCGCATAGTTGGGAGAGTGCAGTATAAGCTTGATGCGTTAGTGGCTGTAGGTACCGTCGCTGTGTGTCGCATTCGGGAGAGGGGTAGATAACAGGTGGCACCGCTTACAGGTCGAGTCTCTCCTTCTCCTTAATTGATAATACAATACAAACCATGCGTCAGCTAGAATCAGTATTAAACCAAGGGCTACATCGGCACTTAGCAAAGAACAATAGAATGATATCGCCTTATATGTATTTACTTGGAAAATATCCATCTCATTAAAATTGCAAATTCCAACACCCGTCAGCCTAACACCACCGTCAAACATCACTGCAGTCGCATTAGCAGAAAGGACTATAACAATAAATATGTCGCCTATTCCGATCAAAGCCCATCCCACACGAGCACAGCGCTGGCTGACGACACACGGTATCAGCGCGTGCGGCGTTATCCGCTGTCCGGGAGCCGACAGACGAGGTCGACAGACACAGCCGCCGCCAGGTGCCGCCCCACCGCTGTCAGAGACCCGGGCTGGTCTGGGGTCCGGTATGCCCCCCACCGCCCACCGCACGGTGGTCGCGGACGAAACCGCCAACCGGTCAGTATTCACCCACCGAGAAGTCAGCTAACGCCCACCGAGGGGCTAGTATATACCAATCAAGCAATCGGTACACAGTGTGCAATCCCACCCAGCAGTCAGTACACGCTCACCCAAAGGCCAGTATACAGACACCAACAGACCAATATACAGTCACCGAGAGACCAGCATACAGTCGTCGACAGGTCAGTATACTGTTTACACTCACCTAGTGGTTATCCAACGGCCAACGTGATAGCGTCGTTATTGTCCCGCGCCGGTCGCATTTATTGGGATTCGCTCTGCACATTCCAGTCGGACGCCATATTGACGACTGGCGTATAGCCAATATCTGGGGAGGTCTAGCCTCTGTGGAATGTGGTTCGTATCGTATCACGTTTTTCATAGCCTTCCTGTCCATCCCGGCACTCCCGCTGTCGGTACTCAGGAGACGGGTATCTCACATACCGACTACACACAGCGCGGCCGGACCGGCATGCAGAGGTTGTAGTAGGCGGTCTGGTCCCAGAACTGGCCGTCCTTCCAGCCGCACCAGCCCTTGTTCTGGATGGTGGTCAGATTCTCCGCGCCCGTGTAGTGCGGGTCCAGCACCAGGAACGACGCCTCGCCGCTGGCCTCGTCGAAGGCGACGCCGAGCAGCGTGTGCGCCAGCACGCCGCCGCCGATCATCACCGGCGTGCCCTCGTCGTTGAAGTGCCGCAGCAGCGCCCGCGCCTTGGAGCCCAGGTCGGCGCCGCTGCTCACGTGTAGGATGCGCGACTCCACGCCGTACAGGTGCTGCAGGCAGTAGCTGACCTCCGTGGAGCCGATCCACTGGCGAGAGCCGACAAACGACGCCGGCTTGTCGCCGATGTCGACCAGGCACTGCTGGATCTCTCTGTGCGTCGGCGGCGCGCGGCCGGTGTAGCCCTGCCGCTGGAACCACGAGGCCAGGGTCTGCAGCGAGCGGTAGGCGCAGCCCCAGCCGCTGTCGTCCATCCGGTCCTGCATGTAGTGGTGGTAGACGTACGTGCCGCGCACCAGCGCCGTCTGTCCGGCCGTCTGACGCGGCGCCGACAGACCCACGTGCACGTTGGTCAGGAACGGCGACTGGTCATCGAACCGGTGCCGGTTGGCACGTCGGAACAGCGGCCGGTCGGCGGCCAGGAGCAGAGCCGCGTGCACGTTCCGTCGGTAGGACTCGAGCTTCTCGTCGTCGGAGGCAGCGCTGTAGACGAGTGTCACGTAGTGTCCGCACTCCTCGGGGTTGAAGTGCAGCGGCTCGGCCGGCACCACCCGCTCCTTTTCCCGGTATACGTCCGTGATGACCGTGCGCAGCTGCGCCAGCTGCCGCAGCGCCGCCTCAGAGAGGGCAGCGGCCGCCTGCGCGAGCGGAGCGGCTGCCGCCACCAGCGCCACGCAGCTGATAGGCAGCGTGAGGTCCACCAGCTGCTGTCGGCCGCGACAGTACTCGATCACCGGAGCACCGCCGGCCGGCCGGCTCTCAACCAGACCAGTCCGCTGCAGCATCAGTTTGAACAGCGCCTGAGCGCGCCCCGCAGAGCGCCGGCCCGCCAGCTCTGCGCAGCTGCCCTCGGGCGCAGACTCGTCGTCCTGCGCGCGCAGCAGTCGATTCGCCTCCGGCTGGACGAAGCAGGCCACCGGCGAGTCGAGCGTGCGCTTCAGCCGGTCAAAGGCCTCTGCCAGCGGCTCGCAGCCAGGCTTGCAGCGTAGCGACAGCGCTCCCTCCAGGCGCAGCAGCACGGTCTGTGCGCGCAGCTGCTCGGCGCCGAACGTCTCGAACTCGGTGCGCTCCAGCTCGCCGTCGCCGTACAGGAAGACGGCGGCGGTGGGCTCGGGCTCTCCCTCGCCCTCGCCGCCGCTGACGGAGAGGACGACCGCGCGCTGCGCGCCCGCCGGCAGCAGGCTGATGACAGTCGACAGCAGCGCCAGCTCCTCCAGACGGCCGTCACTGTCTCCGGCCACGCCGAGCGGGGCCAGGCCGCCGGGCAGCGCGTCCAGCAGCTCGCTGCCCACGCCCGGCGTGCCGCCCTCCACGTGGTCGAGCAGGCAGCCGAGCACGTGAGCCCGGTCGTCGTGCACGAGGCCGACCAGAGTACCGACGTACGGCCGAGGTCCGGCCAACAGCCGCGACAGCAGCGGCGCGTACACTGACACCTTCATGGCGCCGGTCACTGCGAGGACAGCGGCGGAGCAGGGGACGAACTGCGGGTCGGCTGACGAGGCACTGGCAGACAAACCTGAAATAAAGCATAGTTTGTTTAACAACTGAATGGAAAATATAACAGAGGATGTTTAAACTGAAAAGTTGGAAGAGGAGCTTATTTCATTAATAAACAATTTGACACCAACTGTAGTCTGTGCCTTTGTATATTTTCCTTAAAATTGGTCTTTATTAGTTATCAAAAGTGTTGAAGCACTATCACTCATCAGAATCAATAAGATTAAAAGTGCATTAATTTAAAAGAAGCACCACATTGTGATCTAGGGAACACAGTTATAAGGCTGGGGGGATCCAGAGCGTCGTAAGCCTCGTCGCAGCTGCGACGTGTCGCAAGTTGTGTAGTAAGTCGTTTTTGGAGGGATCAATTGATGAGTAGCGTTACTTAAGAAGTAAAGTCTATCGCAAAGTGCCTGATTTACGACACAACTTACGAATTTGAAATAGCAGTCGTAAGTTGTGTCGCAAGTTGATATGGCCTTGAGGGAGAGGTCACAGGTCACAGGTCATTGGGGTCATGGTCACGAAATTTGCATGGTACGTGGAAAATTGTTGAAACTTGAGATCCTGAAAATTTCGGTGCAATCCGTTGCCGCTAACGCGAGTTATAAAGCAAGAACCAACGGTTCGTCTATGAGGCCTCAATCCGCGCCAGCGAGAGTGTTGAACATGGTGCATAATATGTTATATTCACATTTATTGGGGTATTCATGGATATGAAGTAGCCTAACACCATTCCAGCAACTACTGGCGAATCCAGAAAGGCGGTCTTGGACGTTGCGAGGGGCATCCCCCAAAAGATTCTCCAAATTCTAAAAACGATGTGTCCCAGATGACCCCCATGACCTCGAATTGATCTCTGTGATGACCCCAAGTTGACCTCTGTGACCTGACATGTTCCAGATGACCTCCAATTGAGCTTTGTGATGACCCCAAGTTGACCTCTGTAACCTGATGTGTCCCAGATGACCTCCGTGACCTCCAATAGAGCTCTGTGATGACCCCAAGTTGACCACTGTGACCTGACGTGTCCCTTGATGACCCCCATGACCTCCAATAGAGCTCTGTGATGACCCCAAGTTGACCTCTGTTACCTGAAGTGTCCCAGATGACCTCCGTGACCTCCAATTGAGCTCTGTGATGACTCCAAGCTGACCTCTGTGACCTGATGTGTCCCAGATGACCTCCAATTGAGCTCTGTGATGACCCCAAGTTGACCTCTGTAGCCTGACGTGTCACATATGACCTGCGTGATCTCCAATAGAGCTCTGTGGTGACCCCAAGTTGACCTCTGTGACCTGACGTGTCCCAGATGACCTCCAATTGAGCTCTGTGATGACCCCAAGTTGACCTCTGTAACCTGACGTGTCCCAGATGACCTCCGTGACCTCCAATTGAGCTCTGTGATGAACTCAAATTGACCTCTGTGACCTGACGTGTCCCATATGACCTCTGTAACCTCTAAGTGACCCCTCTGATGACTCCAAGCTGACCTATCTGACCTGATGTGCCCCAGATAACCGCCATGACCTTCAATTGAGCTCTGTGATGACCCCAAGTTGACCTCTGTGACTTGACGTGTCCCAGATGACCTCCGTGACCTCCAATTGAGCTCTTTGATGACCTCAAGCTGACCTCTGTGACCTGGCGTGTCCCAGATGACCCCCAATTGAGCTCTGTGATGACCCCGAGTTGACCTCTGTAACCTGACGTGCCCCCAAGTTGCCTTCTGTGACCTGACGTGTCTCAGATTACTTCCGTGGTCTCCAATTGAGCTCTGTGATGACCCCAAGTTGACCTCCGTGACCTGAAGTGTCCCAGATGACCTCTGTAACTTCCAATTGTGACCTCAATCTCCAACTCTACTAACTCTCTGTGACCTCATACTCTCTTAACTCATTTCTTCTAAAGCATCGCTTCTAGATGCCCTATAGCGCCACGAATCTCTTGTGATCGATCCCAAAATTCATGGCAACTCACGTGAGCGTTAGCAACCACAAGTCACCCAGTTGAGACAAAGCTTCAGAATCAGAGAACATGCTTGAACTGGCTGTCTCATAAGCTCGCAAACCAGAAGGACGAATGTTCCTTTATGCTTGATAGAGTTTTCGACCTTACTGACGCTTACTACGGGATCAGCTGATCGTGTAGCCTTTTAAATTATCGAGTAAAGCGGGTATTTAAACCTTGTCGCAGCTACTTCTGTCGTATCCTCCGACAAACCCCTCTTTCCTCAACATCCCTCCTTTTTCGCTACGACACAACTTGTGACGGAACATGTGTCGTAACTTGCGACGTGTCGTAGATGGACTTGCGACGCCCTGGATCCCCCCGGCCTAAGTGTTGCAATGCTCTCATTTCATATCATCTATTCCTTTCCAACTAGCAACAAAATAATAGATGGTCAGAGCTTGATGAGTGATGACGGATCACCTGCTCAATTTACCAGTGTATTTTTCACCAATTGCACTTAGAATTTAAGCCTAACCTTCTGTTACACCACATCAAACTAAAAAAAAAGATCACTATAATGACTGATGACCATAGTCCTTGCAGCTCATACAATTTCACCCATTGAGGCATCATTGATTTTCATGACAGCTATCAAATACAGAGAAAATATATGGAAAATTGACTTCATTGTTACTCACATGACAAAAATGTCTTAATTGTGCCAACCCAGAAAATCGTAAACCATCTTATCTGCCCCACAACACACACTGACATGAATAAACTACCTAATCCAAATCAGGCCTTGCCAAATCAGGTCGCCAAGCCTTTCACTCCGCATCACCAGACACCAAGAACGAGGGACTAGGGAGTTGGTGCCATGATACCTGTCCATTTTAGCTTCAGGCGAAGGACATCAACTTATTCTTCATATGATTAAGCTGATATCTTTTTTCAGAATAATTCCAGAGGGTCAGATTCGGACAACAGATGTCAAATATTGCTTTGTAATTACGTGGATGTCTAGGGCCCCTTTCAACGGCTAGTACCTTGATTCCTTGAAAATGGTAGAGGTCAGCGAGGTCAGTATCCTTTACCGGTGATTGATTAAGTTGAAATTGAAATAACCTTACACTGAAGCAGAAAATACTCACAAAATACTCGGCCAAAAGTCCTATACCGCCGTGCCAAATGCGTGGCTTGTTTATGGAGACTGCGGCATAGGAATGAAGAATCTGCGCCGTTTCTGTCACATTACCCAAGAGTATTTGTAATGTATTATTATGAATGATTTGTGTTGTTATTTTGTTGAGATATCATTGATAGTGTGCCCAAATATAAAAGAAATAGAACAAAATAAAAACGCTTCTTTTTGTCAAATTCTGGTCAAAACCTGGTCTGGTGACGGCAAAATTCCAAAGGACTGCGAAAGCTTTTTGTTTACGTTTTGGTTTTGGTTGGGCCCGGAGCGCGGTCCGTTTGAAAGTTGCAGTTCAAGTTGAAACCAAAGTTGAAACAATGAAATAATATCTGCATTCTTCCGGCGCTTATTCCATGATAGTTATAATTCTGTATGTAAAATATACCTCAAGCATGCCGACCTGTACGGTCATAAAGTAATGTGACTAGACGTTTATACTTGTGCTGTGCATACTGAAGCAAAGCAGTATTGGTATATCATACAAGTGTTTGGTGTCGCTTATCTAAGAACAACTGAACCGGAACGAAAAATAGGTACTAAACACGGAACGGAACACATTGACGTCAACCTGTCCGTCTCGTCTTTATCTGTGATTTATTGTGTTCTTATTCTATGAAAACTGCGAGATAAAGCTTGCAATAGTAATGTCAATAGGTACATGGAAAATAGATATCTGATAAGTGATAAGGTAGGTATCAGTATGGACTATCGCACTACAACGGAGGTGCTCGTTTCACACAGAACATCGCTTCGTTGAAGTTGGGATGTTTGTTGTATATTGCGGCCCAGGCTATACAATTATATACGCATGTAATCTACGTAACCTATATGTTCATGGGCCTACCTACATATAGAAGTTCCAAACTAAGATTATTATTCTTACGCTCGAAAAAAATCCCGGCCCTGAGGCAGCAGGTATGTTACAACATGAAATCTCATCATTACTCTCGGGGTTACCTATGTTGTTTCTTCCAGCTCTGATCAATTGAGCAATCATGTCTGCAAGAGTCGGTTGGCTCGTCCAGGAGCTAGAAGAGGAGAATTCAGCGCTTCAGCTTGAACTGAAATCCACTCAGTGAGTATTGGTTTAGATCACAATCTATGAGACATTTTCAGGTTTATTATACAAGTAACGACTAACAAATTTGCCGGCAGCTACGTTAACGCCTGATGTCCGCTGATGGTGCCCGGCCCTGTCCCAGGGATGAGCGTGACCAGCTGCAGCAGGAGGTGGAGGAGCAGCGCCGCCTCCTCCAGAGCTGCGTGGAGGAGGTGTTCTCGCTGAAGGAGGAGCTGTCGCAGCTGATGGGCTCGCTGGGCCCGCCGGCGGCCGCCGAGCGGCAGCAGCAGCTCTGCCAGCGGCTGGCGCGCCACGTCTCCGAGATCGAGCGCGAGGTGGCCGAGAAGGGCGCGCGCGCCGACGAGTGGCGCGCCGAGCGCGAGCGGCGCGCGTCGGCGCTGGCCGATCTGCAGCAGCAGCTGGAGCTGCAGCGCCAGGAGGGCTGCCGGCTCAGCGCCGAGCTGCAGCTCGCGCACAGCGCCGCCGAGAAACAGGCCAGTGGAGCGCACACAGGTGGAGAGACTCCGCTGACGTTTTGTCGTCGGAGAATATCGGAATAGGAGGGAAATGAAATGACCCGGTGCTTACAATTATAACTGAGCAGTCAGGGGCGGATCCAGGAAAACTCCAAGGGGAGGGTCATGAATCGAAGTGGTGCCCCTACCTATACCCAAAATTAAAAACTCAACGGATTTCGTCCACTTCATTTTGGTGGTGCCCCCATTTTCAGTTTTTTTCTTTTTATTTCTTATTTTTAGTCAGTATCTTAACTCTTAGCCACAACCACATTTACCAATTGTAAGCAAGTATATATGAATGTGCTATGTGCATAGATGCTATGTGTATATATGTTGTGGACGCTGAGTAGTGAGTACTTACCAGGAACGTTATCAGGTAAGCAAATCGTTGTCAGTCCGACGAACTTGACCCTGGCGTCTAAAGGGTCTGTCCTTGACACTTCAGGCTTGTCAGGGGCACCAAAGTCCTTCCAGGGACACCACAAACCTTTCAGGGGCACCTACGGCCTTGTAGGGGCGCCACAGGCCCGCCAGGGGCACCACAGGCCTGCCAGGAAGTAGGGGCACCAAAGGTCTAGCAAGTATACACGACAGGCCTGTCAGGGGCACAACGGACCTGTTGGGCCCATGAGCACCCCTAGGGGCAGGGGCACCACAGTCCTTCCAGGGGCACCGCAGGCCTGTGAGGGGCACCAGCGGCCTAGCAGGGGCACCAGTCAACACAGGCCTGCCAGGGGCACCACAGACCTGCAAGGGGCACCAGAGGTCTGCCAGGAGCACCACCGACCTCGCAGGGGTAACTTGGGCCTGTCAGGGGCCAGGGGCACCACGGGCCTGTCGAGAGGCACTTCAGGCTTTTCAGGGGCACCATAGTCCTCTCCGGGCGCAGGGGTAGCAGGGGCACCAGAGGCCTGCCAGGGGCACTACAGGCCTAGCAAGGGCACCACTGGTCTATCAGGGGCACCACGAGCCTGTCATAGCCAGGCATCTCAGGCTTGTCAAGGCCCAGGGGCACCACAGGTCTGTGAGGGGCACCAGCGACCTAGCAGGGGCACCAGTCAACACAGGTCTGCCAGGGGCGCCACAGACCTGCCAGGGGCACCACAGACCTGCCAGGGGCACCAGAGGTCTGCCAGGGGCACCACCGGCCTCGCAGGGGCACCTTGGGCCTGTCAGGGGCACCACGGGCCTGCCGAGGGGCACTTCAGACTTTTCAGGGGCACCAGTCCTCTCCGGGCGCAGGGGTACCAGCGGCCTAGCAAGGGCACCAGAGGCCTGCCAGGGGCATCACAGGCCTAACAAGGGCACCACGGGCCTGTCAGGGGCACCTCAGGCTTGTCAGGGCCCAGGGACACCACAGTCCTTCCAAGGGCACCGCAAGCCTGTCAGGGGCACCAGAGGCCTGCCAGGGGCACCACAGGCCTAGCAAGAGCACCACTGGCCTGTCAGGGGCACCTCAGGCTTGTCAGGGCCCAGGGGCACCACAGTCCTTCCAGGGGCATTACAAGCCTGTCAGGGGCACCAGAGGCCTAGCAAGGGCACCACCGGCCTGCCATGGACACCACAGGCCTGCCAGGGGCACCACCGCCCTTGCAGGGGCGCCTCAGGCCTGTCAGGGGCACCACGTGCCTACCGGGGACACTTCAGGTTTGTCAGGGGCGTTACAGTCCTGTCAGGGCCCAGGGGCACTAGGCCCGTGGTGTCCCTGCTAGGCCTGTGGTGCCCCTGGCGGTCCTGTGGTGCCCCTGTCAGGACTGTGATACCCCTGATAGGCCGGTGGTGCCCCTGGCAGGTCTTTGGGCCCCCGGGCCTCAAGGGGGGGCCATGACCCATGTGACCCCCCCCCCCTTGGATCCGCCCCTGTGAGCAGTCATCTTAGCATAACTGGGCATGGACAGTGTAGCCTGTTATTAGCATTTGGAAGAGCTTTGCTGATCTCGCCAATTTTACATTATGCGTTTCGGCTTTCGAATTTCAAACAAACGCACGAACTTACGGCGTTTCAGTTGTCGAACTATGGCTAGTTCGCAGAAATGCATTACTTTGAACGTTCACATTTATTCAACAAAGCTGAACATTTTCAGGCCGCGGAAAATCAAAGCAAAATCGCGGAGCTCGAAGAAACTATCGATTGCATCACCAAGCAAAAGGCCACGGTTGAAGAAAACCACGCAAAGGAAGTTGAGGCCCTGAAGAAAAGCATAAAAGATGCTGAGGAATCCGTTCGCAGTATGTCAAATATGAAATGCTCGTTTTATTATTATCCTCGGTATTAGCAATGCAAAGCCGTATCATGGTAGGTAATCCATGGCCGTATGATCTACAGCAATTATCTTTTAGGCATGATAAAATTTTGAGCATAATTGTAGCGATGTTAGCTTTTGAAACATAAATTGTACCGTTGTAAAATAACCTAACGATCTAATTGCGACGTTCATTTACCAACCAGTTGCCGGCTGTCGTGATTGTACACTGTCCCTGTGTCTGTGTGACCGTCAGCGGCGTGCAGCAGCCAGGAGCAGCTGCTGGAATTGTACACTGTACACTGTACACAGCTCGTGATTGTACACTGTCCCTGTCTCTGCGCCCGTCAGCGGCGTGCAGCAGCCAGGAGCAGCTGCTGGCCGCGCGCCGCGAGCAGGACCGGCTGTCCCGGCAGCTGGCCTCGGTACGCACCCGGCTGGCGGAGCGCGACTCGCGGCTGGCGGAGAGCACCCGGCAGCTGGCCGAGCGCACCAGCCAGCTGGCCGACGCCGTCCGCTCCGTGGAGGTCAAGGCCGCTCAGGTGGTCGGCCTCAAATCGGCGGTAAGTCGGGTCAACTGCAGTAACGCTAAAGGGGCTATGGTATTTACTATGAACGCTGAACTGAGATACTATTGCCAGGCAGAGCGTATTCACTTATTGTTTGCGGTTACTTGTGCTTGGCTGTCATTTAGCCGATATACTAAGTCAGGTATGTGGGAAACTCAAAACGTGCCCCGGAGTTTGGTATTTAGATGCCTTTGAGAGGATACTGAATGGATATTCCTATTTAAGTACTTGGACTGATTTCAGTTGCACGATAGCAAGTCACGGACTACACAGCTGCAAAAGGAACTGACAGAAAAATCCAAACAAGTGGAAACGCAGGCGGCGTCCATAGCCCGAAAGGACGAGGTTATCAAGGTACATACATACAATTGGTATGCATGCGTTGCTGATATGTAATGTGCATTTGAACGTACCGTATGGTCAACTCCGAATAATCATTTGCCGTTGCAGACAGCCAAATTTCTGCGAAACATGCCGCTATTAATATATCCATTATCCAATTTCTAGCTATTACCGCTAAAAAGACGGCATAAAGATAATCCGACAAGACATTGACCATGTGACGTATAAATCCCTGTGATGACCCAACCCCGATAGTTGTGTATTTCCCGCCCGTGTAATGCGACTCGCCCCCGGATATCGTCTCCAGCGCCAGAAAGTGAAGCTGGAGAGCGTGGCCAGGGACCTGAACAAGCTGAAGTCGGTGTTCTCCGACACCGACCTGCCCGGCATCTGCGAGTGTAACGAGGTAACCGAGCCAGCTCTCCCATCCAGGGTCAATGTAGGACGTAGGTATAGCGATACTTGACATGCCATCAGATGAACTTTGTTTGTCGCACTATCGAGCTGAACTGAAATAAGACAAATCATTATGAGATGGTAGCGCCGTTTAACAACAAGTAGTAGCGATCTTATACCGTGCTTACCTTTCAAACAACGCTCATGGTGTCACCGTGATATATTCTACTCGTCTGCTTTTTCGACCGGTAAATTAAGTCGGTACATGTATCCAGCGGGGTATCCCTGGCTCCCCTCTAGGCATCCCATCGCTAACCCGCTCTGTGCCACTCGTGCAGGCTGCCATTGGCGGCAGTCTGCGGGACCTGCGTGCCCTGAGGGGCGGCCGGCCGCTACCAGCATGTCCGGCCAAACAGCTGCGCTCCACCATCGCCCAGCTGAAGAAACAACTGGAAACGGCGCAAGGTGGGCACTCAGGGTCAGCGGGCGTGTGTTGGTGTGTTGAACGCTGTCATACGTTTAGTGTATTGTGTACACACAGAAGTATCATGGTCAATCCTCAACTCTGGTATGGGAGCTCATGGCAGTCGATTGTAGTCCTGTGGGCATAACACCATCTCTTTCCCATCCCCTTCTGACCCGTCCGCATTTCGCTCCTCCCGTCCCGCCGCCGTTCCCCGCATGCCGTCCTTCCTCGGGCCGTCCCAGCTCGTGTCGCCGAGCTGGAGACGAGTCTGGACGACATCCGCCAGAAGCTGCCGCAGATGTCAGCCGAGGCGGACCGCGCCTACATGGAGCTCCAGGTGCGAGAGTGATAAATTTGGCAGAAATACGAGTTTGTGACGTAGTTTGTTTGAGACGTAGTTTGTTTTTGATGTAGACGTAGTTTGTGAGCTCGGTCGTCAACGCTGCGCCATGCTCTTGGTATCGGAGTCTTAGCATCGATAGCATTTATCACAAGCTGGAGTACGAGACGTGCTGCCGGTGAATGCCCTATTTGTTGGGAATCCTTAGCAGGTATTCTAATTATATGTATTTTCTTTCAGTAGTGATATTGCGAACACAGATATTACATTCAGTACTAATGCGCATTATCCTACTTCCTAACCGTCGAGTGTTGTGTGCAGAAAATGTGCAAGAAACCCCGCAATATGACCATTTTGTATGCGAATGCCGACATGTTACCGTGCGTGCTGACCCCTTCCCTCCCGCCGTTGCCCGCGGTCAGACGAAGCTGCAGGAGCAGCAGGCGGCGACGGCTGCCGCGCAGACGCAGCAGCGCGAGCAGCAGCGGCGCAACCAGCAGCTGGTGCTGAAGCTGGCGGCTGAGACGCGCCGGCTGAAGGACAGCGAGCAGCTGGCGCAGCGGCTACGGCTAGAGAACAGGTCCGCGACGGGCATGGGGAGGGGACGGTAGAGATGGGATGGGATGATGCGGGACGGTACAGTTATAGAGATGGAATAGGGTGGGGTGAAATGATACACATGATTAGAGGCAATGGGAAAGGATCAGGGGGTCCGGGGATGAGACAAGGCGGACGCGCCGGTACGAGATGGACGGGACGCGGGCGTATAGTTGGACGCAACGGAATAAAGTGTTTGGGAGACGGGACGGGACGGCTGGGAGCGAGGCACAGACCCCACTCGCTCGAACTGACTGGTCCCTGGTCTGATCTGGGTCCGTCCGTCCGCGGCGGCAGGTCACTGGTGACGGACCGAGTCCAGTGGGAGCGCACCTCCACCAAGCTGCAGGCGGCGCTGCACGAGACGGTGCAGCTGACGGCGCGGCTGCAGGCGGCCCGCGCTGAGCTCGAGGCCGAGCGCCGCCTCACCGGCCAGATGAGGCAGAGGCTAGACCAGGCGGACGCCCACATGAAGGTATGTCAATTGTCGAACCCCGGGCCGACGGGCTAACGGATGAAATTATGTTGATGGATGTTGGGTAATTGTAGTTGCTTATATTGGTCGCCAATGCCGATTGCATATTTTGAAAGTTTATATTTCACGTCATATTGTGTTTTTGTATGTGGTTAATGTTATGCTCTCGCTTACGTACTTTGCCCATCTTCTTCTGGTTTTGTGTCGCATTACTGTGCGTAATTTCCCCCAGTGACAGGGACGGAAGCAGGATTACCTCCAGGCTGCGGTGGCCCCCCACTCCCCAGTGGCTGGTCGGGCCCCGGTGTTCGGAGCCGGTTTTCCACTGACGGTTCGGATGGTACTGTCCGACGACTGGTGTGTACTGCGCCCCTCTAACGGAGGGTACCTTGCTGTGCCGCAGTCGCAGCTGAAGGCGGTGATGGAGGAGCTGCACCAACTGCGTCGCTCGGCCGACACCCTGCCCGCCCCGCAGGTCGACTGGCCGCGCAAATACGAGGAGCTCCTCGACAGGTCAGTCCGACGCCGGCACACTTCATTACCTACCGAACTCGCTTGGGTTGGTCTTCTTTGTTTTGTAAGGTAACTTTTTGTTCTAGCGAGACCTTTTTTTCAGAGCCAGAAGGATGTTAGGAATTCGGTGGATACATTGGTTTGGGCGAGCACCTGGTGCACAGCCAGGGCTGAGCCCGAGGACGACAAGCCTCGCTAACGGTACTTTGTACTCACCCCACCGTATGTGCGATGGGCCTGCTCCCAAGAATGTACTCCTGTCGGATGAAGGCGCCCGTCCAGCCCGGATCATGGATAAGAGGTGTGGTGTGGAACATTTGTGCGTCGTTCACCGTTCCGTGCTTCTATCCTCAGGATACTGAAATCCTTCTCCTCCACGCCGCAACCCCCCTCCGGGCTGGACAGGCAACTTTATCTCATGCGGGCTGCTCCCTTGGAGCGGCACCGCTGCTCCCGAGGGAGCGCACCCCGTAGCCGGGTGCAGTGAGTACCTTGGGGCTGGTCGGCCTGTCCTTCGGGATGGGCTCAGCCCCGGTGACTTACTAGGGTGCCTGCCCAGACCAATGTCTCCCCCTAATTCCTATCATCCTTCCGGCTCTGAAATGGTCTAATTGGACCGAAAGGGCCTAACAAAAAAAAAAAAACATGTGCGTCGTTGGGATGGAAAAGACGGAACGGTCGCTCGGAGAGGCAGCCCAGCCCACCTATAGGTATATAGGCAGGAGGAATAGCGTACATGACGGCGTGTCCGAGTGACTGCTGACGGGAAAGTCGGGATGATGACACGCCCAGTTGCGTTAGGAACGCAGCAGAATATACATGATTTGACGTGCCGGGGCTGAATGGCTCAGCATTATAGAGGTTGAGCGGTCTGTAGCGCTCGACATAGCGCGGTGCAGAGAAAGGAATCACCGTCCAGCTCCCCCATAATTGCTGCTAAGTGCTAGCAATGCTAGCACTTAGGCATGACGTCCGCAGCTGCTGAGCGGACGTCATACCATTCTGATCTCTATCGGCAAAAGATGACAGCCTTTACTGCAGTGGCGAACACCCATAAACATACTGATAATGATAATTCCACACCATCTGTCAGCGGTTATGACGATCCTCCTTTCTCAGATGCCAAGAGTGGCAGGAGGAATGCCTGGCGCGCCAGAAGGACTGCATCACCATGGAGCAGCGGCTCGGCATGCTGGCCAAACAGGACAAGGCGCCGCAGGAGAAACTGGTGAGATCCCCGGCGTGGTGGAGGAGGCAGTGTGCACGGCCTGAATTCCTTATGCGCTCGTAATAACCATATATATCTTATATACAATATATATACTCTTATATACTCTAATGGTAATAACAGCCAAAGGTCGTCTGATATTATTTTATCAGACTGAGTTAATGATGAATGATGTCTCACGTTGTCGATTCTTAGCCCATCAGCTGTCAGCGGTGTCCTTCGTTTGAGCCATTTAAATGACACTGTCGATTAGTACCGGTTTTACCACCTCACCGTCTCTCCGTCCCGCCCCTCCAGCCGGAGCCGGCGGCGCTGAGCGGCGGTGGCGGCGCGCCGGCGGCAGACGCGGCGCAGCTGGCGCGCCTGGAGCGGCAGCTGCAGACCCTGCTGGCCGCCGTGACCCGAGTGGCCACGGCGCCGCCGGGTCAGCCAGCGCGCGCCCGCTCCGTGCCTGAGATACCGGTGCCGAGCCCGCGGGGCTCCGAGCGGCGCTGGAGCGGTCCGGCCGACACCAGCTCCGGAACGATCGGCACCGCCGACGGGTCAGTGAGGCGATGACTGACCTGTGTCAGTGACGCGGCGACTCACCTGTGTCAGTGACGCGGCGACTGACCTGTGTCAGTGAGGCGGCGACTGACAGTAGCTGATGAATTTTGAGTCAGTGTCATAGTGGCCGACACTGACAAGCGTGTGTCAATTACAGAATTTTGTGATGTGTAAGTCCATAGACTTCTGTACACTTCTGTACTCTGACCTCTTAATGTGATCGTGATGGTTAGTCCCAACACGATTGCAATGACTGTCAGCGAAACCGTATCAGAGTCAAATGCCGAAGTGGACAAGTAAAAGAAAGATAAGTCTAGCCGTCACATACCATGTCACCATGTCCTCAGGTTCTCTCGAGGCGTCGAGCTCCGTCCCCTCACGCCTATCCGAGACACCTCCCAGTCCTCTCTGGACGCGGACGGCTGTTTCCGCTCGTCGTTCGTGGCCGAGGAGCGCGGCGGTCAGGGGGCGCCCCTGTCGGCCGTCCAGACGGCGCTGGGGACGGCTCGTTCGGACGGCACCTCCGGCTCGGTGGTGGTGCCCGAGCTGGCGCCGCTGCTGCAGCGCGTCACGGAGATCATCTCGGAGGTGGAGAGGCAGAGGGACCAGCTGGCCACCCAGGGTCACCTGCTGGAGGAGTACCGCGGTCGGGCCGAGGGACACCGGGTGGTCGAGAGACGCACCGCGGCGGCCACACAGCAGGTGAGAGAGGGGGCGGCACAGGACGGCCGGATCTGGGGTGGGCCAGGCATCTGATCAGGAGAATTCGAGGGTAGAGAGGTCACTGGTGGAGTCATGGCAGGCTGGGCCTAGAATAAGTCATCGGTCAGACCGTAGCAAGCTGGGACTGCGGTGGGCCAGGGGCAGGTCAGCTGGACGGGACGCCATCTCAGTGTGCGTAACTGGACGACCAGGTTAGGGCGTGGTGTCACCACAAACATCCGATGTCTCCCTCTATGTCACATTGAACATCACCCCATCATTTATCAGTCAAACACAGTGATTGATGATATCATCTCCCTGCCCTCAGACGTCCTCGCGGTCGGACCCCGCCCGGGCAGAGGGGACAGAGGAGGAGGAGGAGGAGGAGGAGGAGGAGCCGTGCAGGGACGGTGAGCAGAGCCGCGTCAGCCGTCGGACCGCCGAGGCCGGCGGAGACGACGGCCGGCCGCAGCGGGCCAACGCCGCGCAGGACGCCCAGGTCAGTCAGTGACTCAGCGCATGTAACAGTATGTTTGGTTCTAGATACGACAGAAGACGCCGACAGCAGTATGTAGTACAGGACTCTCTGTCACGATAGGCAGCGTATAGCACGGGGCACCCAGCTAATTAGCACATACAGTGCACGGTTTGTGCGGCGCCTGACATTGCGGCTGTGGTTAAACTCATGACTGCTGTGCTCATTGTTCAGTGTCTCCTCAACCGCCTGCTTCAACCTCGGGTTTCTGTCCCTAAATTTCCCCGTCACACTTACCTGTCTCCATAGCTACTGTTTTCAATGCGGTTGTATACAAGCTAATAGTGTACAATGGTACATATCTCTGCTATCAATTATGTAATTCTGAGCGGTTTTCGGTTTACCCGCTTTATGTACAGACCCAGTCCTCCGGCTCAGCCGGCGCCGGCGGCGGCGGCAGCCTGCCCCTGCCGGCGCCGCCTGGGCAGCCGCTGCCGCCACGCCGGCACCGCTCCAACTCACGGAGGCGCGACAACGAGCGTCAGGAGCGTCTGGCGCACTTCCGCGCCCTGCAGCAGCTGCTCGACAAGATGACGGTGACCTCCGACAGCGGGACGCCCGTCAGCCGCCCGGTGAGTCCTGGTGACCAGACTGTGAGGCCCAGAGACCAGTCCGTGAGTCCGAGTCAGCCCAGTGAGTCCGAGTCCCCGCTCAGTGAGTCCAAGAGTCCGAGTCAGCCGCCCAGTGAGTCTGAGAAATGGCCTAATAAGTGCGAGTCCCCGCCCGCTAAGTCTCAAATACGATTCCCTGCTCGTCGTTTACCTAGGGTGGCGAGTTCGAGCCGACGTCCGGTGAGTCGGGGCAACCAGCCCCTGAGTCCTGCAACTTACACAGTGACTCCCGCGTTTCCAGCAATTGGCGAATTAAAGGGACCCTCCCAGTTCCCACCTTCAAAAAAGTTAATGAATTGGCATGAAAGTGATGTCCCTTGGTTCAGAAAGAGCGAAAACGAATATCTACCAAATTTCACTGAAAAATATTCACTGGTTTTCAAGATATTAGGCTTTTACTTTTGTTTATTTTTTGGGATCTCCCCTGTTACTAGCGACTTTATTTGGAAGCAATAATTTGGCAGCCTTAAAGTGCGGCAGACGTTGCGCGCAAAGCAGCGTATACCACCACGTGTTAACGATGGTTTTAGTCTAAGATTTAAAAATCGTTAGATCTCCGCTGACGTCACAAATTCTAAGGGGGCATTCCAATGCATTAGCCCCTTATAATCCGAAAACTGCAAGTTTGAAATTCCATATCTTCGAATTAAAGCATTTTTCGATGTTGTGAGTGCCCAAACCGGTATTTGCAGGCCATGGCCACCAATTTGGCTATCTCAACTCAAAACTAATGTTAAGGTGGGAGTGTCCCTTTAAGATCCGCCAGCTGCCCCTCTCCTGGCGCCCAGGCTGTTCTCTAAGGTCATACAGTATATATGTTGGATGCTGGCCTGTTTTCAGTGGTCATGGGTTATTAAGCCCAGAGCTGAACTTCAGTGACAACTAGAAAAGTTCATGAAGTCCCCCGAGCTTGGGCTAGCCAGGCTTGGTCAGGCTCAGCGAGGCTGAAGTTTTGAAGGAGATGCTGAGGAAATGAAATTGACAAGGTGTGAATGAATTAGACAATGGAATCAAAACCAGACTGCTAGGATAGAGCGGTGCAAGCTGCTGACTGGTATCTCAGTCTATTGTGTGGTGTTGCTTTCGTGTATGGCGTCGTAGTCTCACGTCGGCGATCTATAAATGCAATAATGCACCTGAAAGGAATTTTAGACATTCGGCACACTGTGCTATGACGTTGCGAGTAGCGGATCATTCATTGGCGCCTAATCCTGTGGTCGATGAGGATGTATTGACGTTGTTAGTGCATGGACGATATTTATTGGATGATGCAAAACTAGTTAGGTATATGAAAAAGCCATTATGACCTTTACAAATTTTTTCCGAATACGGTATTCGATTTGTAACGTTAGGAAATGAGGCGACGTTGCAAACGTCGTTTTTCTTAGTCCAGTTTCAGGGTCTGAGAACTTGAAACAGGGTCTGAGAGAATCCAGGGTGCCTGCTGTTAGAAAACAGTAAATAATACCGTCTGAGGGGGACATTTTCGACTCATCACACGGCTTAGCTAATGTCGTTTGTTCCAGAGAGCGCCGTCAGGGTCTTGGCGCTACGCCGTACCAATCCCGTCCCATGTGGTTGCTGAGGCAACACCGCGCCATTGTTTGGTGGGTCACTCACGAGGGTATTACGATATTCTGCACAGTCAGACTGACTCGATCCGGTGTGAAGTGAGCGTCTGTTTTGTGTCTGACTAATGCACGATTAGGGAGAGTTTCCTGGAATTACCGCTTCGACCACAGGGACCAAATGTGGTCTATTTAATGCGTCTTCACATTCCATTATAATTAGCCTTCCATGAAAAGCATTGCCCCTGCATAATGCGTATTGCGTATGCAGTGCTGTCATGGGTGAAAACTTCGAGTTTAGGCGGTCATAGCCGAAGTTTCCAAACGCGTAAATATTCGAAGTTGCTAGCATGTCCTATGGCGTAATGGGAAAACGTGACATCAGTTTTGCCTGTGATTTATGTTCTCGTAAATGCGTGGCACATCTATTGGATGATTTATGCCCAGGAAACTCAGATTATCGGCGTAAAAATATAGTTGTCGGCCTAGTTTGTCGATTATTTCCTTATCATTGCATCACAGCTGATGCATAGCCAATTTTTGAAGGGGATATTGGCATCGTTTAAATAAAGCAAATCTGTCAGCCGTTATGTATCGTTACTTTTTTATGTAGCCAGTAATTCATCGTCAAAGCCTGATATACCTACTGGTGCAATTATGATACAGCCAGCAAATAATGACCTAGCGTAGGTCGATCGATGTTATGTTTTTATTAACCCGCGCCCTGCTGGGGGTCCTGGATTTCCACGCCCTGCTGGGGGGGGGGGTGTTTGAACACCCCCCCTTCTAACTCGGCTCCTGGGCCACGTAGCGATACGCGGAAGGCGGCGTTCGAAAGAGCGTCAAAAATAATGAGGAAATCACTTAGGTCAATTTTTTGGTCAGGTCAAAGGTCAGGTCACCAGAGGTCATTGAAGGCAAAATTTCGCCGATTTCCAGGTCGAATGTCGACAATTTCCAAGAAGCCAACGCATAACTCGGGAACCAATAGAGCTACAGCGCCGCGGAAAAGCGCATTCGATAGCCCTATTAACGCCCTTTCTGAGTAATTTTCCCAGATTTGACCTAACGTCAACGGTTTTGCCTGCAGGGGGCAAAAACTGCAAAAATAGCCGATTTTTTCGGAAACAGTTTTTCTGCAATAACTTTTGACCCAAGCCTTGTACGAGCTTACTTTTAGCGGCATCGTGTTCCTCTTGTCAAGACGCATCGAATGAACTATGACTTGACCTTGAAAGGTCAACTTCAGAATTTGACCTCAGGTCAAGGTCATGACCTGACCGGAAAGGATCATGTTGCATATCAGTCAATCCGTATCGTCACGCTGAACACATCTAAGGCGTTTTCATCGCTCTAGCATGCCTCTATCAAAAGTTATTTGCGAAAAACTGTTAGATACCATTCGTGACCTAAGATGACCTCAGGGGCATAAACAGGGGTCACAGACACCATTTTCATGTTCAGTGTGTCTAAACCACTTGTAATTCAGTGTTTGGGAGTGTTTATAATGTCTTTCGTCCAAAAGAGGTGCATTTCAATTTTCTCCCATTGACTTATAATGGGGAGGTCGCAAAATTGACCTGACCTTAGGTCATCGATATCAAAATTCTGAGATATACATTTTGTACATGCTATTGCTCTTAGCAATCGCTGAAAGTTTCAAAGCGATCGGTCACTCGGTGTAGCTATGACAGACATTGAAACTTTTTATGAGGTGAGGTCACTTCAAGTGACCTGGTGACCTGACCTTGAATGACCTTGGTCTAAAATTTTAACAACGTGTGTAGAATTGATGTATGATAAGGTGTACCAAAAACGGCGGCGCTCCGCGCCGCCGTTTTTGAGATATTCGCGAAAAACCACAAGGGGGGGTGTTCAAACACCCCCCCCCCTAGCAGGGCGCGGGTTAAGCCAGAGGGCGGTATGTTGAATACCTTCAGGCCGCCGGACCGTATGCTCTTCATAGCTCCATGCTCTTCATAGCTTTGACGCATTGCCCTTTGAAAAATAACAATTATTTATACATAGACGAACGAACGCTACCACGAAGTGACTTTTACGTACATTAAATATCACGTCCAAACAGTTTCGATGACGCCTTTTTCTGTAGCAGATCCTGGACCACTTAGCTCAATGAACGTCATTGTGGTCCTCCATTGTCACTTAATCGGATAAATGATAACATTGGAAGTTAACAAGAGCAACTAGAATTTGGGACGCTTTAGGAAAACTTTTTACAGCCAATGGCCGCTTGTGATACATTATAAATTATCTGCGACGGCGTATCTGGTACGCGAGTGTGTACCCGTGTGCGTACCGTGTACCCCGCCCAGTGACCGGTACGTGTGTGCCGTGTCCCCAGCTGACCGAGCCGGACATCCCGGACCTGAGCGAGCTGCGCGCTCAATGGCGGCACCTGGAGACCATGGTCCGGGACGAGACCGAGTCGGCCCGCACTCGCAGCGACGTGGTGCTGCGGCTCTCCGGCATCTCTGAGCCGAGCCAGTGACGTCAGAGACCAGTGACGTCACAACAGCAGGGACCGCGGCCCGGTGAGCCAAACGACAAATCCGGCTGGTCACAGCTACCGGATCGAATGCATATCGTGACTAAAATTACTGAATTGAATTCCCAGTCGCGGGACTTAACGGCGGTAGCAGCTTGTGCAAGCTATTTGAGAGAGGAGATATGATGATCAGATTGTTCTTTGTTAAAGAAAAATACCCTCGGTGTTTTGCGTCGCGTTGCAAACCACCCGTATCCGCTTAGGTATCCGAATCTGCAAGTAATGAGTCCTGCGGTTTTAACGGACAGGTGAAGTCCCCCGTCTCTGACGGCAATCCAGCAGGTGTATTGTGACTAGTGACGCGATCAGTCTCCTCTGAGCGGCCGCCGGGACAGTCGGTGTCCTATCCGGAAATGGCGAGCTCTGCGCGGCAGCGGGCGCGTGGTCGGTCGGCTGAATAAATTAGCGGCGAGCGGTCGGTGTGTGGCTGACTGATTGGGGACGTAATGAGCCAGATGGGGCCGGCGGCGGGGCTGAGACAAACGGCAGAGGAGCCGGCGGAAAGAGAGAGAGAGAGAGAGAGAGAGAGAGAGAGAGAGAGAGAGAGAGAGAGAGAGAAAGAGAGAGAGAGAGAGAGAGAGAGAGAAAGAGAGAGAGGGAGAGAGATGAGGAGAAAGAGGAGGACTTCGAGAGGGAAAGGAGGAATAGAAAGAAATGACGGAGAGTGGGGAAACTGACCTCGAGAAGGTGAAGGAAAACTGGTGAAACAGGGAGGATGCAGAAGTGAATAACGTTCGTTCTGCGGAAAGCTGAGATAGGGATCGTGAGAGTCTTTCCACAATATCCCAACTTTGGTAAGATAAGTCGAGCAACGTCTGGGCTGCGGCCGCATTTGATTCACCATTCGTCGTGGGAGTGGGATTGTGACGACCGAAGAATGTAAATATCTGCCGCATCGGATGTAAACGTGGTCCGGCTTGAGTCTCTATGATTCCCGTGCCGAGATTAGTGGTGCGTCTTTATCATCGGTCATCCACTGTAGTCGTGTCGTGTCGGTGGGATATTATCATCTGCGCCGCCTCAGCTGAGCGACTGGATCTGAATCAGATACCGTGTGATCGGTCTGTATGTAGGTGTGCCGGTATGTAGCGCTGCAGAAGGTCGCGCGGCTCGCACTGGGACAGCCGGCTAATGACAAATTAAAACCTCAGCACGCGGTGGTGCTAACAATACAGACGAACGCTTCTATGGGCATGCTCATTGCTCGTCGAATAACCCTCAGTCGCGGTGCCCGGAATTGATTAATATTATTTTCCCCGGGCGGTGCGGCGGCGCATCCGCCGTTTGTTCCTCGGCCGCTCGTTAGTCCACAGCGGCCGCTGTTTGCGGCCGCACCCATACAAACGCGACGACAGCTGCGCGCGCGCGGCAATTAATGGAGCGCCGCGGCGTAAACAGCAACCTGTTGTTTACCGGCGCCTTCGGCAGGGGGCTAACACTAAGGGACGGACCTATATACGGTCTTGGAACGGGCCCCTAACCCCGTTGGACCTGTCGGGTGACCCGTTTCGGGCCGAGCAACCACATCGATAATACGATAGGAGAAGCCAACTCGTCCGCGCAGACGAGTTGGAACAGAAAATGGTACCGTCTGCATTTATATGGACCTTAGGCCGGTGACGTCAAGTTTAGGCATAAGTCCAGCGTTGGGCTGAAGTATGGGTCAGGAGCGCCGAGCGCGTGGCTGAGCTCTGGTGAGCCAGCCTTGACGGGAACAACCCTCGCTGGCCACGAAAATGAAGATGTTTTTTCTATCATCCAGTCTGGTGAGTATCAAATTATGATGCAAAGATGATGCAGAGCTAATAATAAGCCATGACGAGCCCAGCGTCTATGGTTATTCGCCGTAGGCATGTACTGACCGACTAAAAATAGCATCAAAACGTCATCCCTTCTGGGATATGTCCTTCCCCTCATCGCGTCATTACACGCTCTTGCACCATCACGCTTCCCCTAGCCGGGGCGGAGTTTCGGGGAAGTCTTCGACCGCTGTTAGTGTTTAGAACGATGTCCCTGATGACCGTATACGTCAGTGTTTGGCTTACGAGCGAGTGACATATCGGTGAAGCGTCACGACTCGCGGCTTACGTCTGGGTGAGCCGGTACCTACGCAAGTCATAAGCATGGACGTAGGTACCGCGCGAACCCGACCGTGCCATTGCACGGTAGGCGATCGGGCCGGTCTAGCCTCGCGAAACCTCAAAGACACTTTTTTCCGAAAATTGGAAAACAACGCATACTAGTCGACAGAAAATTCATCAAAGATTACGATTAGTGCATTTGCATGGCTCAGGAGACATTTTTTCGTAGACAAAAGTATCGTTAACCCGCGCCCCGTAGGGGGGGGGGGGCGAAACGGCCCCCCCTGTCCTTTTCGGTCGAATATCTCCTAAACGGCTGGAGATATCGCCACCGAACTTTCAGGACCCCTCCGGGCATCAATTTTACACATTGTGACCAAAAATTTTTCCAGAGGCTATGATAGGTTGGCCACAAATGACGTCAGAGTAACGTCATGTTCTGTCATTTTCGACCGAAAAAAGACCTTCGCGAGAAGACCTGTCAGGACTACAGCTTTGAAGATACAGAAAAATGATCAAGACATAAAAGGTGTAGAATTGACAGGGCTACAAAACTGCTATCTCAAATTTTTGAAATTTTTGAGTTTTGACCCCCAAAAATCAAAATAGCGTTTTTTTGGATATATTCGCCAAAAAATCCAAAAAGTTTTTTGAGTTTCGAAAAAACCGGAATATATGTGATAGTGCCTACCGTCTTCTATCCACATACCAAATTTCAGATCGATACCTCGTTTTTTGGCCAAGTTATAGCGAAAAAACTGTTCAAAAATGATGACGTCAAATTTTCAAACTCAATTTTTGGCAATTCTAGAACTCGTAGAGCAAAACGAAGACCACCATTAGACTCCCCGTGACGAGCTGCATCGAATCAATACCCATTTTATGCAAAAATATCAACTTTGAAATTTGACCTAATTTGACCTTACCTTGACCTGACCTTCACCAAAACGTGACCTATGCTGGCTCCAAAGGCTGCCTAACCCACATAATCGCATTTGTCATGTAAAATGGACCATAAAACATGTATCACACGACACATTCATATTGTGACCCCCGGTGACCTGACCTCGCTGTGACCTGACCTGGTATCAGTGACCTCAGATAGCAAAGTATGTGTTTGACGAACAATGTACCATCGATGGTTTTCAATAAATTACCAATTTACTCGCTTTCACAGCACATTTCTTGAATTGCCTGTGAACGGTGAAAATCTGACCTTTGACCTGACCTGTGACGTCATCGGTTTGACCTAGGTCAATGAAATTTGGTCACAAGGTAGTTCCCGGGTGGGGCTATCGAACGCCGTTTGAATTTTGAAAATCGGCCGGTAACTTTCCGAGATCTTAGGGGGGGGGGCCGAAACGGCCCCCCCCCCTACGGGTGGTAGGGTCCGCCGGTAGCCCTACGGGGCGCGGGTTAAAGACAGCGTTCCGTAACACTTCATAAGGGGGATAATCACAGCCGATTTTTACGCTCTTTGAATATTTTGCGGAACGATGAAATTGCTAGGTGTTGAGCATCCATTTTGCATGGAAAGTGCAATTTAGATGTTTAGACGATTCCGCCATAGAAAGCAAGTAGACAAAATCAGTTCAAAATGTCTTATAATTAGGTTAACTTTTTATATTTTTTTTCTACCACTGAACATTACGTTCACTGAATTAACCAAGCCCAGCAAAAAAGTTTTACGAGGATGACCTGAAAATAATGCTGTATCGCATGCACTAAGACACTATCTATTAGGGGAGCCAGTGAAAATTTGCAGCAACTTGCAGCCCTGGCATCCAGACACTTTTTTCTTCTAAGGGTTGGCCGTGGCTTTGTGCACTTGAGCACAAGTGGTAAATGCCTCAAAGAGTGTTTTCGCGATAGCTCAAAACACCCAGGCAATAGAGAGCTGCAACCTGGCATACCTGACCTTTGATGCACGCTGGATCTTGTGACACCAATCGCACCTTCAAGTCAGGTCAGGTCACTGACCTATGACGTCATACATGAACCTCTGCACGATCCTCAGATGTCGCAACCTTGCAACGCTCTCAGTGCCAGAGTAACTTTCACGGGGAGGTGAGACTTGCAGGACTTATTGTCCTTCAGAGGTCTTACAACTTGTATATCTCAGATTTTTCCTAAATGTCACATAAAGTCAGGTTGGTCACGTGACCTCACCTATAAGTCAATGGGGAAATATGAAAGCTGTTATTTTGGCGCCAGGAATGATATTCAATTGTCTCAAGTACATGGAATCGTTACTTCATGCACTCCTTGCAAGACCTGATGCTGCATTTTTGCATTGTTGACCTTGCATGACGTCATTTATGACGTCACTAGGGTCATACGAGTTTTTCGTCAATAACTCTCGATCAAATTGAGCTAGAGAGTCGACAAGGTCACCAATGGACTCCGGAAGACCTGCCGAATCGAATGATATGCGATATGACCTCCTTCGACCAACTTCGTGATTTGAAGACCTCTGACCTGACCTTGACTCGAGGTCAAGGTCAGGTTGACCTTACGGTGGCCTCACCTGAAGAAAAGTATACCATTCGACGCGCCTGAGCAAAGCGAACATGACGATGTCAAAATCATGGTTCTGCGGCCATTTTTTGCGAAGTTATTTGCCAAAAACCAAACCCGCTGCTTGGGTCACGTTATGAAATGGGGCCTTGCCGGGCGAGATTTTACGCTGTTTCATGATATGTATAAATTGGTAGGGCATAATCGTTTGAATAAAAAAATTGGTTTGGAAGCAATTTTCTACGGAGGTACACACCATTTCAATGTCCTACCCAGCTCATACCGTCATAAATTTCGACCTACCCTCAAAAGTAGGTTCATGCGTTATTCGAGCAGCAATTAGGCAAATTGCAAGCTCGCCACAGAGCACAAATCCTATAAGAGATAGTCCTTATTTAAAACATATGCTCATTGGATATTCAAGAAGGTTGCTCCTAAATATTGTGGTTCTTGCTTCAAAATCATGGATGTTATGAATGCCGATAGGTTTCGCGAGGCTACACCGGCCGGATCGCCCACTGTGCATTGGCCAGGACCGTGGCCCTAAAGGGCGCATACCACGGCGGCGAACGTTAGAGTTGGGTACAGTGTAGCTGTGGTGCTGCCGTTATTTCAGTAGATACAGCGATAAACAGATGGCGTGTTGGTATGCCGAGGATTCAACCCATGCATGTCTGGTATTGTACCCACCATAGGCGACGAAAAAGGAAACTACTCACTATGCTTCCGCTGGAGGAAGACTCACGTATGACGTAGTATGAGACCAAGAATGCCATAAACGCATGTCTGGAGTATCGGAAGTTGCGTCGATGCACGTGTGGTGGATAACTTTTAGCTGGGAGTGACTGGCGACTTAAGTAGTATTACCTACTCCTTAATTATTATTAGACAGCGAATTGCTGAACGTTATGGCTCGTTATGGAACGTGAATGGCTCAATACCGATGTATGTACATGGTTTTTATTGGGTAATAATTTCGAATTCGATGGAAAAATATATTTATAAGAGCACTGCCTCGTGGACCAGTGAACAGCTTCGTTGTTGAGTTATTGCAGGGAGTTAATCCATAAAATATTTCCGTTTTCTGTGATTGATGCATGCCTCAACCCTGAACCATTTATTGTTCAGTCTGAAACCGGAAGCCATTGCTAAACGATTTAACTGGCTCCGCTATCTAATCGCAGCCACCAATCATCCATAAGTTCATGAAATAATTTGCTGACTTAAACAGCCAATTAAGGGTTGGCTCCGCCCAGTGGCAGGCCAAAATGCCCGTTGTTTGAGCGCAGAGAGCATCAATTTCTCGGCACTTCTAGACCGACTCGGTCTCGGGGCGGACCGCAGAGTCGCAGCTCTCGGGGCGCCACAGCAGTCCTGCTGCCGCGGGAAGCATTGTAGTATTGCTGACCTATGCGAGGGATCTGGTAACGTTTGCGCCATGAACGTCGTCCTCCGCGAGCTTGCACATGCCAGGATGCTCCGCCTCGCCTTTGGCATTTTATGTGCCGTGGCAGCGTCCGTGGCCGGTTCTGCCGCCGTGCAGACGGAGCCCGGTGCTCTGAGGGATAACTCCTCGGACAGTGTCGCTGAAGACGCGCTGCCGCTGGACGTCCAGCTGGCGGTGCTGCGGCAGATGCAGCTAGAGCGCCTGCTGCCCGACGGAGACGGCCTGGGACTGACCGTGTGCGGGGACCTGCCGCCGGGCCTGCCCGGCTCCGTGTCCGAGCGGCTGAACGGGCCGGTCACCGTCCGCACCTGCCGCCGCTGCCGGCTCCCGTTCCGCGCCGAGCTGCTCTCCGAGCGGCCGATGCTGCCGCGCGCGCTGCTGCAGGGCGCCGGCTGCGAGTACTGGCCGGGCGCGCGGCCGCTGCCGCACTGGTCGCCGCGGCCGGCGGTGCTGCTCGGCCGGCTGGACTGCCGCGCCGCCCTGCTGCGGCCAGAGCTGGACCGGCTGCCGGACGCGCTCTGTCTCCAGCTGGATGGCCGTCCGCCGGGCACCGCCGAGCGCTCCGGCCGTCTGTTCCGCAGGACGTTCGCGCTGCGGGCGGTGCGTGAGATCGGCAGCTGGAGCTCCTCGGGAGGGCTGCACATCACCGATCGCCGCACGGGCGTCCAGTCCGACGGCAGGATCATCACAGACGGCACGCCGCTGCGCGTGGCCTTCGTCAAGTACACCGCGGACCGCTACGACTGCCGCAGGTCCCCGACCAACAACCGCACGTGCAGTGAGGTGGTGCTGGAGACGCTGATGCCGATGTACCGCGAGATCCAGCTGGACCTCGAGGTGCTGGCCATGCCGCGCATGTACAACGTCACGCTGGAATTTGTGGACGCGGCCCAGTTTCCTCCGCTGAAGCGCCGTGACCGCACCTCGGAGGGGGCCAGTCGCGCCATCGGCCTGCTGGCGGCCGGCGGCGCCGACCGCACCTGGCCCTACCAGGGTCTCACGCTGAACATGTTCGCCCAGCCGGTGTCGATTGTGGACGGCCACCGGCTGGTGTCGTTCATGTTCATGACGGCGCGCCGGCCGCCGCAGCTGTCCAGCGCTCAGCTGGTGCGCCTGTTCTCGGCCGACACGTGGGCGGCCATCGCCGGCAGCACGCTGCTGGTGGCCGCGCTGCTGGCGGGCGCGCCGCGCCGGGGCGCGCTGGGCCGCGGCGCGCTCATGGCGCTGGCGCTGCTGCTGGGCCAGAGTGTGCCGCTGGGCGCCGGCCAGCTGCCGCCCCGCCACCGGCCGCTGGTGGCAGTCTGGGTGGTGATGTCGCTCGTCCTCACCACCGCCTACCTCAGCGACCTCATCAAGGCGCTGACGGTGCCGCTGTTCCAGCCGCCCCGCACCGCCAAGGACCTGCTCGAGCAGGATTACCGACTCCTCACCGAAATCCGCCACCTGAAGCTCATCTACTCGCACTCGCCCAGCCCGCACGTCCGCGAGCTGGCGCGCACTATACGGGTGGACACGAACAGAGCGGACATGCCCCAGGCACTTCTGCAGGAGCAGTTCGCCTTCACCCTGGAGAAACGCACCATGCTCGAGTTTTCCGTGGAGGTGATGCGTCGGTCGGACGGATCGGTCCTGTTTGACGACTTCAACTTCGGCAGCGAGTTGCTGGGCCATATGCTGCTGGTGCGGCTGTGGTCGCGGAACCACCCCCTCGTGCCGCACCGCTCCCTCAGCGTGGCGCGCATGATGGCCAGCGGCCTCATATCGGACGGACGGTTCGAGGAGCAGGCGCGGCACCTGGGTCTGCGCGTGCGCGCGCGCGCCTGTGCCCGCCGCCTGCCGTCGTGTCATGCCGGCGGCGTGGTGCGTCCGCTGACCGTCGCCAACGTGCGCGGCCCGCTGATGTTACTCGCCGCCGGCGCCGCGCTGGCGCTGCTCGTGCTGGTCGCCGAGCTGGCCGTGGCTCGGCTCACAGGGCCTGGGTCTCCGGCGGCCGACGGGTCTGACTCTGCCGGCCGTCCACCGGCGCACACCGACAGAGCCTCCCGAGGGAAGAGCGCGCCAGCGAGGCCGGAGGAGCGCACGTCGGGACTGCCGATACACAAGGATAAAATGGGCATGGTGTCGCACATCAACGTCGAGAAGAGTCTTGGGCAACATTTTCTGAGTGATGAAACTAATGGCAATGATTCCTTTACATTTCCTTACTAACTACTAAACTCACCGATAAGCCGTCCCAACCTCACCAGTAGTCAAAGTCATTGCATGATGACCCAGTTGTGTGTGTCAGTTAAATCTCAACAACGGCCCTCTACCGTGACACCGCCTATACGGAGACGGGCATGGCTCGTCAGCGTTATAGATCCGTGACCAGGTGACACCTGACCGCAGGTCACCTTTTCATATGGCTTTTTCATATGGCTATCGGAAGGTATGATCATGAAGTTTGAGACACATCTTTTTGAGGGAGCACATTTTGCCATCGAAATTAATTAACCACAATGTTTAAAGAATCATACAGAATTAATGCTTTCAGAGTTTCACTCTCCACTGGTATCGATGTGACACTTCTTGGTCACCTAGCACCAGCCATGTCATTGGGTTTCCCCCAGTGCAGTGGTGTAATAGTACGCATTGACCGTTCAAGGATCTGCGCTACTCGTGTTTCAACTACTTACACTTTATTCGCTGCATGCAAGAACATTCCGTTGAAAAGCTATAATAAACGAACTCATTCATGTGGCCTAATGCCTCGTGCCGTCACAATTCCTTTAAGATATCGATGTGTTAGTCACGCCGCCGTCCCCCACCAGCGCGCCGTGGTCAATGCCACGCGCTGTTGCAACTTGCACCACGGTTACCGTACATACTCCGGCGCCCCGTGCTAGCGTGCGGCGGTGAGTCACCGTCCAGTTACGGCCGACGGCCGTGGGTGGCATCGCGGCGCGTTTATAAACGGCACGAGACGATGGATGGTCAGATCAGTGTGTCCCCGGCCGGCGCCGCGAGAGGTCGTGTCGAGTGGCCGCGCCGGTTCGCAGCAGTAGGTACCCGACTACACCGTGCTGACATGGCGGCGCTGTTCGTGGCGGCAGCGCTCGGCTGTCTGCTGGCCCCGGCGGCCGGCTTCATCGCACGGCCGATCCTGTTTCCGGGTCCGACGGCGTGCACGGCGCCGAGCGGCCGGCCCGGCGACTGCGTGCTGCCGGCCGACTGTCCCGCCTCGCACGGACCGCCCAGTCGGCGAGCCTGCGGCTTCCAGCAGCTGCAGATCAAACTCTGCTGCGAGAAGCGGCCGACGCGTCCCATGCAGCTGACGTTCCCCACCCCTGCTGAGCCGGAGTCTGCCGCCCTGCCGTCCAACTGCGGGCTGGGTGGCCCAGCCGGCCTGGAGGGCCGCGCGGTGCCCAACATCTCTGGCGGCCGGCCGGCCGACCGCTCCAGCTGGCCGTGGGCGGCGCTGCTGGGCGAGCTGTCGGCCGGCTCCGAGCGGCCGCGCTGGCTCTGCGGCGGCGTGCTGCTCGGGCCGCGCCACGTGCTCACGGCGGCCCACTGCGTGGCCACCCGGCAGCTCAACCGGCTGGTGGTGCGGCTCGGCGAGCACGACCTCAGCGCGGCCAGCAGCACGCGCCAGGAGCGGCGCATCGCGCGCGCCGTGGTGCACCCGCAGTTCCGGCGCAGCCTGGCCGACCTGGCGCTGCTGGTGCTGGCCGAGCCCGTGGAGCTGAGCGTCGGCGGCGCACACCCCATCTGCCTGCCGCCGGCCGACGCCCGGCCCACCGGCCGCAGCGGCTACGTGGTCGGCTGGGGCCGGCTCGGCTTCGAGGAGGAGCAGCCGGACGTGCTGCAGGAGGCGCTGGTCACCGTCCAGCCGACGCCGCCGTGCGAGGCGCTCTACCGGCGCACCCGCGAGTACGACACGCGCTTCCCGGGCGGCTGGGGCGGCAGCGTGCTGTGCGCGGCCGACGAGCAGGGCGGCGCCCGAGACGCCTGCCAGGGCGACTCGGGCGGGCCGCTGTCGCTGGAACGCGCGCCCGACGGCCGCTTCCACCTGATCGGGCTAGTGCTGGAGGGCATGGGCTGCGGCGGTGACCGCTTCCCGGGTCTGTACACCAGCGTGCCGCACTACGTCGACTGGATCCGCCGCGAGGTGCGGCGATCGTGACGGCGCTCGCTGAAGGGAGCCGTCGTTTTCTCAGGTGCTGTCAAGCATGAAAAAAGTCGAGGAGCAGGTGAAGCAAAGCTACCTTGTAAGAAAAGACATGTGGATGAGTAGGACCTACGCGAAGGACACCCAACACGTTTCAATTTTGCATATAACCATAGGAGGGCGGGAGGTCCAGCTTTCTAACTTCGCTTACCCATTTCAACAAATCAAATTGATTTTATTTGTGCTTGTATGAAAACGATTTGGAGCGATATTCATAGATAAGTTGTTCTGATTGTTATTGTTGCGGTGTTGTCTTGTTTTGTTTGCTCCATATGATCTCATTCGCTGTAATTGCGTAGGTGTGAACAGTTTTGCGATTTTAGTCTGTTTGTATTAGTGTCCCGATATGCATGACTTCTGCAATTTGCCTATTGTGCACGTGAACTGTAATTGCGCTTTTAGAGCAGAGTATCTGTGTTATGAATATGAATGTATTTATATTCTGTATTTTGAGTCGCATGTTATGTCGTGTTCGTTACACAATTGATACGTATGTTTGTTTTGGATTACCTTTAATAAAGATCTGAAGAGCTACTGAATGATAGAAGTGATTTCCAAGCGCATACGATTACGGGATCTATCATAGTCATACCGGGCTTCTCAAAAAAGTTAGACGGATTTCTTTATTCGAATAGAGGACCCCTAACAACATTTAAGCAAAATCAATGCACGTCGAAAAACGGAGAATTGTTCGTAGATTTATATGACACCATGGTTTGAGCTTAAAAAATGAAGCCGTGGTCTTAGGAAGTAAAAGCAAAACTCGTGAAATTATGCTTTCCCAGACTAAGTCGGTCGGTTCGACACCACGGAAGATCCTCAAACACTTTAGGGCAAAGAGAGCAACATCTTGAAACAAAATTTTCCACATTGTTGACAAGTTTCTGGCTCGAGGAAGTGTTAACAATAGGTTCACGCAATTCAAGGAACACAGCGGCGGCCATAAACCCAATCAAAGGCTCACGGCGAACACCACTCGTGTGAGAGATGCGCTACTCAGACTGTCAATGGTCAGCGATATCGGGTGGCTCTGGCGACGTTTTGGAGGGTTCTGCAATATCAGGATGAGCAGAGATCCGGAAACGCTTAAGATCCAATGGTTCCAGCAAGACGGTGGCACGCCAATACCGCTAAAGAAAACCGAGAGGGGCTGTGGGAGCGCTTCGGGCAGCGCGTGATCCCGAGGTTCGAGACACGCCCTTGGTCGGCGAATTCTCCGAACATAACCCCACCGGACCTTTTCCTATAGGGCCACCTCAAGTCCCAGGTGTACCAAAACCACCCAAAAAGTTCCGAAGATCATAAGGATGCAGTGAAGTCAGCGGTGTGCCGTCTGCAGCCTTCCGTGGGTCGTGCTGCAGCAGAGGTCGCGCTGCGCCGGGCTAAACTGTGCATCGAGCAAAAAGGGAATCATCTCGAACATGACCTCGGCGCGGCTCAGAAAGGCGACTGCCGAGGGTCGAAATCCCCTCAAACGAAATGTCTTTGATGAGGCTTGGGTATTATGCTGAACATAATACCCAATTATGTTTTGTTACACTGATACACCCGTCAATACGTTAGTTATAAAATCGTCTAACTTTTTTGAGAAGCCCGGGCTACCACTAGAGATACGCTGACCGCATCATCTGCAGCCGACGGGGGTCAGTGCTGAACATAATACCCAATTATGTTTTGTTACACTGATACACCCTTCAATACGTTAGTTATAAAATCGTCTAACTTTTTTGAGAAGCCCGGTACCTACTATAGCGTGATGATATCTATCGTTTGAGCATTCAAATGAATGAGCTTTCTCAAATGAGCATTTATTTGGTTCAAGTCAGCGAACTAATCCACCGTTTAAGCATCACATATTTTACAGCATATCATATGTACGATATTCACAAGTGCATACCGAGACTGCAATGCGTACAATACACTACTGCGGGGTCTTCGGCAACTGGCTGGTGCTGGTACTGTTGGGGTCCATTGCGTCGCTCCCAGGCCCCAGGGCTACCACTAGAGATACGCTGACCGCATCATCTGCAGCCGACGGGGGTCAGTGCTGACTCGCCGGTCGGTGCCCGCTCCAGTGCCGATGCTCCCGTGCCGCCCTGCTCCCGAACCACACCCCGTCCCGGTCAGTTCGGACCAGTTCGGGCAGGTAGCGCCTCGGGTACAGCGGAAACCTGGTCCCCGCGGAGCTTTGCCAGTCTTCAACCTCCTCGCCGGTGTCGGAATGTTCCACCGGAGGGTCACCCATGACGGACCTTCGGCCCTCGCCTTCAGACTCTTCATCCAGAGAGTGTCTCGTGTAGCAGCCTTTGGCAGGATTTCTCCCGCAGCTGCCGTGGGGAGACGGTCGTCTGGGTGCTCCTTCGAGCCGGACGCTGCGGTACCTGCGAAGGTGCCGCCGCAGCAGGGCTGGCGAGACCTGGCGTTTGGATACGTTCGACATGGCCCGCCTGAGGTTGGTCGGAGACGGCTGGCTCTCGTCAGTCGTGCTCACCAGGTTGGCCGTCAGGCTGAACCGTCTCGTGGGTGGCTGGATGCCCGTGGAAGGGTCCTCTCTGGAGGGATTTCTGGCATTCTTGGATGGACGGACGCCACTCGGACATCCGACGCCCTTCTGAGTGATGTGCTCCCTCATCTCCTCCGGGCGGTGTGAAGGTGGTGAGCTGGAAGTGAACGTCTGCGGGCCGGTGTGCGGCGGCGCGGACTGGTCTTCCTGGGCACCCCGCGACATCAGTCGTCGTCCCACGGTCGTCAGAGGCTGGGCGACCACCACAGTCAGCACCGCGGCCGTCGGCAGCACCACCGACAGCGTCAGCAGCCACGCGCTCAGCACCAGCGCCAGCGACCAGGGCTGCGCGTGCTGCACGGACAGCCAGCGCGCCAGCAGCGCCGGCACCAGCAGCAGGTAGCCGGCGGCGCTGACCCGTCGCAGCCACCGGAACCCGGCCATGGTGACCAGGCGGCCGAGCGGTCCGCCGTGACCCAGCTGACAGGCGGCCACCACCCAGCAGACCGAGAGCGCCGTGCACGGCCCAGACAGCGCAGAGAAAGTGGCCGTGAACCAGAGCGGCGCCGGCGGCGCGGCCGGCCCGGCGAACGGCAGCACGCAGACAGCGCGCGCCACCGGCAGACCGACGGCCAGCGTCCAGCCGCAGGCCAGTACCGGGACGTTGCCGCGCAGAAACGACGGTCTGTCTCGGCGGGCGTGCAGCAGGATCCCGGTCAGCAGGCCCAGCATCCAGGGGCCGGCCCGAGCGTGTGTGGCGGTGATCACGAGCCTCCACAGCCGCTGGTTGAGCTGTAAGTCGTGGGTGGTGGGGAGAGCCGGCAGGCTGTGGAGCACGGTGATGGTCGGGGGCGCGGCCATGGCTGCCGCGGTGAGCACCACTAGCAGAGCTGTGCCGAACCGGGGCAGGCGGACGGAGAGCAGCACCAGCAGCGGCGACACCAGCCACAGCTGCGCCTGCACCGCCAGGAACCAGGCGTGGCCCAGGCAGTGTCCGAGCGGCGAGTAGTAGTTGCTGAGCAGGGCGAGCACCGGCCACCACCCGTTCCGCTCTGCGCACGGCCCCACCACCAGGTCCTGCGACAGCTGCCGCCACGCCGGGCCGTCGCTGACGAACGTGAACGCGCTGACGAGCAGCAGCAGGGAGGTGCCGATCAGCGCCAGCAGACGCACGTAGCGGCCCAGCAGCACGAGCAGCAGGGCGCGCAGCCGTCCGGCGGTCAGCCGGCGGCGCAGGCTGTAGCCGGCAGTCAGACCGCCGACTGCCAGCAGCGCGTCGTATCCGGAGAGCGCGGCCAGCAGCGGCCGTAGCGGGCCGGCCAGCGCGCCGTGCAGCTCCGCCACGTTAGTGTAGGGCAGCGTCACCAGCGAGCTGAGCAGCGTCAGCTCCAGCGTCAGCCGGTTGAAGGCCAGGCAGGCCAGGGCGTCGGCGGCCGGCAGCGCGCTGGCCCGTCCGCCCAGCGCCGGCACCAGCCGCAGCCAGGAGAAGGCGTCCAGCACGGCCTGCGTGGCGCGCCCCTCCGACTTGCCCTCTGTTCGCACCACCGCGTCCACCACCGTGGCGAACCCCTGCACGGCGGCCAGCACGGCCAGACAGCAGAGACCGACCAGCACGGCCGCCGGCAGCGTCCGCCAGTCGGGCGCCCCGGCTCCCACGGCCAGCTCCCACGCCACAGCCGCGGAGGTGCGGCAGTTCCTCGCATCCACGTGCACGTCTGTGGCGCCGAGCGCGTCCCGCAGGCCGTGCTCCACGTCGGCCGGCGAGCAGGAGGCCGGCACGCAGCGGCCCAGCTGGAAGGCGTCCATGTGGGGCACGCTGCCGACCCCGTACAGCTGCGGCAGCGCGCTCAGACTGCGCGCGCTCCGAGCGGTCCCCTCCAGGGCGGCCCAGCGCACGTAGGCCAAGCAGTACTGTCCCTGAACGCTCAGGCCGGAGGCGCCTAGCTCCACGTTCACGCCGGTGCACTGGTCTGGCGTGCCGAATGCAGCCCAGCGGCCGGCCAGCAGCCCATCCGGCAGCGACGGCTGGGCGTCCAGCATGGTGAGCGCCCAGCTCTGGCGGCGCAGGAGGCCGGCCAGCAGCACCCGGCTGTCGCGCCGGCACGACGAGCCGCGCCCAGACACCGGGCTGAGGATCTTCAGCGCGGTGCGCGCGCCGGACGACGCCACTTCCAGCGCGTCGTGCAGGTGGATGCTGGAGCGGAGCGAGGGGGCGGGCGATCGCGCCAGTGCTGAGGTCAGCAGCAGGCACCAGGCGGCCCACAGGAGCGGCATGGCGGCGGGGAGATGGAGCAGGAGTGTGGCGCGTCCCGCACTGTCCGCAGACCGGGAGACGGCAGACTGAGCTGAGTACTCGCAGCGGAGTGGATCCGCGCCGCGCCAGCCGCGTCGAAAGGGAACGGAGCCCGTGCTAGGATCTGGCTGATAGGACATGGAACGACCAATCGTGCAAGTGAATGGCAGCAAACATAGCTCCAGGCTGAAAATGAAAGTGGCGCTACTGGGTGCTGTAACTCCATATCGTAAGATGACGTTGATAGAGTGACTCTTTTGACTGTTTATGCATCTTGGCGAAACGGTTCGTATCAGATTTCTTTCCCCTCCAACGCCTAT